AAAAAAAAAATTAGGGCACCTTTGACTTAGTTTAAATCAAGAGGAAACTTACTTTATGGAAACCTGATCTGTAGTTACTCATTTTTTTTCTTTCTTTTTTTGCCCCATTTTTCTTGTTTTGTCCTATTAATTCCCCCAGTGTCAAGGTATACAGATTACATAAGTAGCCAATACTTCCTCTGGTGCATGTCCTCCAAAATCTCCTAGGCCACATCACACAATAAAACTAAGTTTTGGAAAATGGGCACCATTCTGCTAAGCCTTGGTGGTACATTTTGCTATAAATATCTCAACTAACTTTGCACTATTGCTTTCTTGTTCAGAGCATATATCGATTAATCAATTAATTGCTTTGATTCAATCATAGGAGGGTAAGCAGGCTTAACTATTTACTTGGGCCAATTGGAAGAAAAGGAACAAACAAGTAGCAAACATTCTATTCAGAAAGTAAAGAACTGATGGCGGGGCTAACTTACTCGTCAAGTGAAAGGCCCTACAATTTTGTTTGTGAACATGGACAGCTAGTGAGACGATCCATTCTGAAAGAGGATGACTATCACTGGCCCATGGAGTGATGCTTTCAGTCTCTTTCTGCTCATTTCAAGTTCTAACACAGGTAAATATGAGTTGTCCAACACAGTGCAGCAACCCTGCTGCCTGCTGCTTTGGTTGAAGACTACTTCTTTGAGATCAGAGGTGAGGAGATGTCAATTGCTCAGCTTCATCAGGTATCCTTAAGAGAGTGACATATCCTTAAACACAGCAAAAGGAGGAGAGAAGAGAAGCCCAAATGCACCTTTCTGAGGAGGGAATCTTCCATCACCAAGATGTGGCAGCATCCCAGACCAGGCAGCTTGAGATGTGACTTAAATAGACAGGACACAAAAGAGACAGACAGACAATGTTGAACCCTAGTAGCATCTTTCCTTACCCTCCATTAATGCCAACAAACTGAAGATTCTTTTTCGTGCCATTTGAATCTTTGTTACCATCTTTCTTCTTCATAATGGATTTCAGCGTACTCTCATTATTTGTACATACTGTGAAAAAGTGAATCAAGAGAATCAAAATTAACATAACTCATACCCATATGAGTTAAATGAATAGGTAATCTTTCTTCCTGTACAATTTTTTTCTCATGCATGTAAATGTATATCTTGGCATGTATATATGAGAAACTTGCACAAAATCCACTGGAAAAGTATGCGTATGCAAAGAAAATAAATCAAAGTTCCATTAATAACATGCTTTAAATGGGGTGGGGGAAATCCATTAGTACTTCCAGACATAACAAAACCAGTGACAACTGGCATTTGTATCAGGCTTTA